CACACACACACACACACACACACACACACACACACACACACACACACCAGTAATTCTCCTCCAGTTTGGATTCTGAATTCTAGGCCCAGCCCAGCCCCCTACAGCTTCCCATATGCTCCCACAAGCTACCTTTTTTCCTTAGATGGACTCCCCGCCTGTCTCTCATCTCCCTCCTGCTGTTTCGTAGCTAGACCTAGAAATAAAACCCTCCCTCGGCTGGGGTAGGCTCAGTGTAGGGGAAGGTCCCAAACCCCTGGGAAGAGTCTCCTGGTCCACTTCCCATCTGCTTGGGTGCGGTGGCCTGGGAAAACAGGAACCTCCAGGGTCGGGGAGGAGCCTTCTCCGAGAGGAGTTAAGTCCTCTGCCCCTGTCCCCGCAGCCACCTCACCAGCCCAAGTTGAAAGAGACAAAGTTCAGGTTCTAGGGAGCCAGGGTCGGAGCTCCTGGGAGCAGAAGCTGTGGAGAGCAGACTGTGTGTGACCTTGGCAAACTCCTCTCCTTCGGGTTCACAGCAGGGCGGTTAGCTGGCGACAGTGGAGGGGTTTAAAGTCCTGTCCCTCCCATTAACTGCTCCCTCGGGTCCGCGGAATTGAGAAGCGAGCCCCAGATGCGCTCCAGGCGAGCTGGAGAGGAGCCCAGGGGCTGTGTGCGCTCTGCCAGCGTAGAAGCCTGGCCTGGAGACCGCGCACCCTCCCACTTCTCAGTCCCTCCGAGAAGATGGGTGCAACCCAGAGCGGTGGGTCAAGACTGAGCCCCCTCTTGGCCACACAACTGCCGCCTGACCTTGGGCCTGTCACCGCCACCACTACCCCACACACGGGTCTCGCGTCCCCACCCCAAAGAAGCTGTGGGCTCTTATCTCGGAAGAAACCTCAGGGAGAGGGTGCTAACCCCAACTGCATCCCCAGCTTACTGAGTGACCTTGAACACCAGGCTTCCTCTCCAGAACCTCAGTTTCCCCACCTTCCCCACAGGAAGAAGAACGTTAAACTCCCGACACCACCAGTCCCGCTGGCAGGTGTGTCTCCAACCCAGTGGGGGTGGGGGGTGCCGCGTGGTGCCACTTACCGTCCTCCAGAGACGTGGGCGCTTGGCAGGGACCAAGGCGGCTGTGACCAGTAAGTGCGAGGCAGCCACCACCAGCCCGAAGCCGATAGCCAGTAGGCTGCGCACGGGCAGCAAGGCATAGGACACGAAGGTGACCAAAAGGAGTTGCCAAACCCCCTGCTCGGCGACCGCGGACCCCATTGCGCCTCCCGCAGAGCTCCTGGCGGGGCCGCCCAGCGCGAAGGGGCAGCAGAGTAGCGCGAAGGTGAGGCTGAAGAACAGCGCCAGCTGACCGACCTGCTGCAGCTGGGGCACCTGCAGGGATCGAACATTGGTGACCACGAACAGCGCCAGGAAGAGAATGCAGTGCACCGGGTGCGACCCCTTGGCGAGGCCGGGAGCTGGCCCCGGCTCTCCCAGCAGCTCGGCCAGTGCCAGGGCGCCCGCCAGCAGGCTGAGCACCGCCAGCGCCTTCAGCGTGGCCGCCTGCTCCAACCGCAACGTGTAGCCGCGGAACAGCGCCTCCAGCTCGGGGCACGCGAACTCTTCTCCACACGCCCGGAGCCCGCGCCGGCCGCCCGGCCCGGCCGCCCGCTCTGCGCCCCCGGGCTCGCCCGCGCCTCCGCCGCCGCCTTGGCCGCGCGGCGCCCCCGCCTAC